CCACAGTGCCCGTGCCGCGACCAGGCCCGCCTCTGGGTGAGGAGGCGCGGGCCCGGTGCCCAGGCGGCCCCGTGCCGGCCAGCCGTCCAGATCCGCTCATCCGGCCTCGTGAGACGATTACCGCGCAAGGGCGGCGCGCGACGGCGCGCAGCGGGCCACCCCAGAGCGCAGTAAAGCCGGACTGGGCCAGCCGACGGCGACGGCGACGGCGGTGGACCGGGTCGCCCGTCGCCGTCCGCCCAGTCGGCGGGGACTTTGGACAATAGCGGCCACTGGGAGCCCGGCCAGCTCTGCCAGGCCGCTCTGCAATCACACAGCGGCGTCGTTACTGCCGCAGCTTAGAGGCGGATCCGCCGCGTGGACCGTGACCGCTGCCCAGAGGCACGTGGCGCCACGCCAGGGGCCGGCATGGGCCCACAGGGACGGCTGCCGGCGTGGAGAGCCGCGCGGGCCGGCGGCAGACATCGATGACGAGCTGGCGGAGGAGAGCGACTCCTGACGCCCGTGAGCTGCGCCGGCCAGGACCGAGCCAAGCTCCGGTCGCAGCCTCGCGGCAGACTGATGCCACTTCGAGCATCGGCCCCGGTCCCTGGACTGTGTCGCCCAACACCGTCAATCCGGAAATGTATGGCTTGGGCGGCCAGTACAGGTGCCCAAACGGTGTTGCCTGAGACTGACCGGCACGGCCAGCTCTAATCCAGGCAACGACAAGAGTCCACGAAAACAGGCGTCCCAGAAACATATCCACTGTCGATGGCCGCGACCCACCTCCCCCACAGACGAAAACTGTCCGTTTCCAGTGTTTCTCCCTTCCCCCCCCCCCCCCCACGCCTCCGGGCTCGTGGATACCATTGCCCTGGCGTTTCCCGCCGCCAGCGCGCCCTGAAGGCGCGCCCCGTCGGTGGGGGCGGCGCCCCACGTACCGGTGAAGTCCGGCGGCTCGAACACGACCACGGCGTCGCCGGAGCGGGGCGTGACCTCGTGCCGGCCGCCGGGCACCGGCGCCGGCCGCGCCTCCGGCTCCGCCCGGCCGTAGTAGATGATGCGCTCGATGCACGAGTCAGTGGCGTGACCGTGCACGTTGCGGCCGCGTCGCTTCAGCACCTGGACAGCCCAAGATGGACGGCTGTCACGGCACGGGACATATGACAGTCAAGGCAAGAACAGACCGCAGTCATACCGGAGACAGACCCGGCCCAGGACGGACGGCTGTCACGGCACGGGACATGTGACAGTCAAGGCAAGAACAGACCGCAGTCATACCGGAGACAGACCCGGCCCAGGACGGACGGCTGTCACGGCACGGGACATGTGACAGTCAAGGCAAGAACAGACCGCAGTCATACCGGAGACAGACCCGGCCCAGGACGGACGGCTGTCACGGCAGGGACGGGGACGAATGGCCGTCAAGGCAGGGACAGACGGCGGTCAATGCAGGGACAAACGACGGTCAATGCAGGGACAGACGACGTCCAATGCAGGGACAGACGACGTCCAATGCAGGGACAGACGACGGTCAATGCAGGTACAAACGACGGTCCATGCAGGGAAAGACGACGGTCGATGCAGGGACGGGCGACCGGGAACGCGTTCGTTGGCCACCCACAGATGTACGGAAACAACAGACATACAGCCGCTGCAGGGTCAGAAGACGCTCCAAGCACGTGTAATGCAAGCGCAGGGACCAATATGTGGAAGCACTAGTTCCTTGAAAGAGGCTCTAGATAAAAACATATTCAAACAAAAGATACTCGGGAGAAGAGGGTATCACGGCATAATAAGGTGGACGCAGTTAATAAAAAGGGCAAGACAAATAGGTATGCTAGACGGGGTCATTCCTATCGGGAAGACCAAAACAAAAACATGAGCTTTCGATCAGAAAACACATTTTGTGATGATGCACAAACGGTGGAAGGCAGTGGGTGGGTAAGTAAGTGATTGATTGATTGATTGATTGATTGATTGAGTGAGTGAGTGAGTGAGTGAGTGAGTGAGTGAGTGAGTGAGTGAGTGAGTGAGTGAGTGAGTGAGTGAGTGAGTGAGTGAGTGAGTGAGTGAGTGAGTGAGTGAGTGAGTGAAAGCAGTGAGCACGTGGTTGTTGGCCGTTACATCTCTTGCGAAGAGCCTATTCACAAACATTTATCAGGGACAAAACCGTGCAATAGCAACGAGAACGGCGGCAAACTGCAGATACTTTTTGCATCCACATTGCTGCGAGATTGTGTGAGGTGAGGACGTTCGTGATGCAACTTCGTTCCGCCACGATGGGAGCGGCCAACAGCCACATCGTGGTCGCACGGCATTTCGGCGACATCACGCTGGGACAAAACGCCATGTCGACAACGACAAACAAGCCCGGTTCACAGCGCTTTTTCAACCGTAATAACACGGTCCAGCGACGCGGCGGTCGCGCGGCATCGGCCGGCAGGCAATTGCCGACGCTCACGTCGAAAAGCAAACCCGCGCCGGGCGAAGAGTGTTTGCCGGGCCCTCCGCGCGCGACACTTGAATACGGCCCGGCGGGAGGGGAGGGGAGGGGGCCGACACGGCCGGCGGCCCTGGGCCGGACGGACTGACAGGGGCCGGCTGGGCTGCTGCCAGACTCCAAATGACAGAGCCACTTCCGTCGGACACATCGGCCACAAACGGCGGAGCACGATGCATACGCGGCATCTGTTTTGACAGATCCGGGAGTGATATGCGTTGGGTCCAGATAGCCGCGGTCCAATGAATACGAAGGGGCTGGCACTGACTACGCGCGTCTTCAGTCAGCCTTCTCCGATATCATCTCTGGCAAGGGAAGTTACAGGCAACTCAAATCTTAATCTGGGGAGGCAAACTGATACTTGCTTAAACTCCTAAGCGGAAAACACCTAACCGGGCTCTGTTAGGGGAAAATGAGCATGAATAAGCCTTCACCAACATCCATAAGTAACATGCGTGTCTGGTTGAATTCTCTACTGACGCGTCCCAGCGGGGCCGCCGCTCAGCGCCGCCCGCTCGCCCGGTCCACCTCACCTCGCCGCCGATCTGGTCCACCAGCACGGCCTCGGCGGCCGGCGGCTCGCCCTCCGCCAGCGCTCGCCGCCGGATCCGCCGCCGCCGCTCGGCTAGCTCAGCCCGTGACGTCACGTTGCGGCCGGTGACGTCAGCCGGGCGCACGTTAGCGTTCTCGTCCGCCGCGGTCGGCGGCTGGTTGGCGTTCAGCGCGTCAGCAGCACTGTCCTCGATGACAGTGGCCTGGCTGGCTTCGGTGTCGTCGCCGGTCTTCCCGTCGGTTGTGTCCTCCGTGCACGCACCGATCTTGTTTCGCACCTTGTTCCCTTGATTGTCCTCAATACTGTAATCCGTGCCGGTTCCAATGACATCTCCCGTGCCGTCTCCGGCGTCGTCTCGGCTCCCGTCTCCGGTCTCGTGCCCCAGCAGCGGCTCGCCGTCCACAGGTGTCCAATCACCGGCGGGCGATGTCGCTTCAGTCGAGCCGGCCTCGGCTGTCTCCTGCGACCCGCCCGGAGAGGCGGCCGGCTCCTCCGTCTCAGGAGACACCGCCGGCTCCGTCTCAGGAGACGCCGCCGGCTCTACCCCGGGCGACGCTGCCGGCTCCGTCTCGGGAGACACCGCCGGCTCCGCCTCGGGCGACGCCGCCGGCCCCGCCTCGGGAGACGCGTCCGGGCTGGTGTGCATCGGCTCGTGGCGGGTGGGCGACGTCGGCGGCTGCCCCGGCTCCGACAGGCCCAGCTGCCGGCGCGCGGCGGCGATCTCGGCCGGCGAGGCCAGTCGCTCCATCCGGGAGAGCCTGTGGACCGGCCGACGCCGTCAGTGTCGGCCGCGTGCGGTCGGCACGGTCGGCACGGCGCGGCTCCAGCCGGCGCGCGCCAGCCGGGCGCCAGGCGCCACACGGCGTGCGCGGCACGCGAGCGAATGGTTCGAACCGATTCCAACGTACCGTGCATAGGAGGCAGGCAATAGCCATGGATAAAACGAATGGAATAGTCACAGAGTAATGGTCATAGAATAAAGGATGTCACAGGAGAAGGGAAAAAAACAATGGAAAGGCCCACCAAAACGCCAAAACTTCCTAACCCTAATACAGTGAGATATCAGGCTACACAAGATGTTGAGTAAGCAAAACATATTAACGCATCCCTATTCCATCTAGCCCACGTCACGATCAGTCCAAGCCGGCGCAGCACATACGGTGCTAACGGTTCAGGTCACTTCGCTGCCATCTGTGCAGCACGAGCAGACACTGCTCACCCTGCCCCGTCACCTCCCGCCGGCGGCCCGCCCCGTCCGTGCCAACGCAAGACGCAGGTCATCCTAACCCAGCACCTCCCGCCGGCGGCCGAGCCCCACCCGTGCCAACGCAAGACGCAGCTCATCCTAACCCGGTACCTCCCGCCGGCGGCCCCGCCCCGTCCGGGCCAACGCCGCTCATCCTAACCCGGCACCTCCCGCCGGCGGCCGAGCCCCGCCCGTGCCGACACTCACCGCGCCTGGTTGTCGCGCCGCAGCGCGGCCAACTCGTCCTGCGCGCGTTCACGGTCGGCCCGTTCATGCAGCAGCCGCTCCTCCAGGCGGCGCTGGCGCCGGCCGGCGCGCTCCGCCTCCACGGCCCGCTGCTGCTCGGCCAGTAGCCGGCGCTGGGCCTCGGCTCGCCGCCGCCGCAGCGCCAGCATCGTGTCTGCCGGGCGGCGGACGCCGTCAGCGGCCGGGGTCGGCGGGGCGGGCCGGCCCGGCGGCGGCTCTGGCGGCTGCCGCGGCGCCCGGGGGCTAGATACGGGCTGCCTGCGTCTATCGGTATGGATGAGAATTGGCTTCCACCGCCGCGCACCTACTGGTCTGTCCGCCTCCTGACAGTGGGCCCGTCAGGTGGCGACCTGCTTGATCACATCGGGTGTTTTGTTGCTAAGAGCCCGCCGTGACAAGGGGTGTGTGTGTGGGGAGGGGAGGGGGGGGGTCAATCGCATTGGTCGACGTGACCAATGAGAACGCACCCCTTAGGCTGAAAAAACGGAACTGGCTCAGAAACAAGGCATGGTGCCAAGTGATGGTCAATAACGATCCGAGCGACATCGTCTCGCCTGTTCTTGTCTGTTGGCGAGACAACAAAGCACAAGCGCAGACACGGCACGCCGGCACGGTGGCGCGCAGAAGATGCTCGAGCGCCGAGTACCGACAGTTCCGACAATACGGAGCGAATGCTGCGCAGCGACAGCGCAACATCTTCAGTCAAATGGAGGTCACTCTGACCGAGCAGAGGGGAATGTGTTGCACGTTTCCATTCGTCCAGAGTATGTGTGTGGGTGTGGGAGGGGGGGGGGGGGGAGGGGGCAGCCAGCCACCGCACTGCCACGATCCGACGATGTCTCTCCCTTCCACGCCGTCTTCCCCGCCTCTAACACCTGCCCGCGCTCCTGCCGCCGCCCTACCCTGTATAGAGGAGACGGTGAGCTGGCGGTGAGCGCTGGCAGCCGCCTCCAGCTCCTGTCGCTGCCGCTGCTGCTGCTCCAGGTGCCGAGCCAACGTGTTGGCCAGGTGAGTCTGCATCTCAGCCTCATAGCTGTGGGAGGGGGAGGGGGGGTCAGAACTAGCAGAGGGCCACGCACTGGAGGGAATGTAGACAAGGCACGATGGCGGGGGACTGACGAAGTGTAAAGCGATCGTAATAACCGGCGCAAGGGCACAATATAGGGGTCACTGCAGGATCACAGGATGGAGTTAACTGGAGAAGAATAACGCAGTCATATTAACTGGAGCTGGATCACAATGTAAAGAAAACTGACAATTAACACGATAGCGGTAAGGTAAACCAGGATCAGTCAACCGTAGTTTTATGGAAGAATTGCGAATTGCGGCAAGAATTAGTATCACGGATGAAACAGTTGCTCGGACTATAGACCTCGTCTGTCGTGTTAGTGAATAAGATGCACGCAGCCCTTCCCGGTACATTCAGTTGACAGGGCGCTGGGCTCGCAATCAGAAAACCCCAGTTCGAATCCTAGCAATTCCATGATAAAATTCAACCCGCGACTCAATCATGGTTTAGAGTCAAACGCCATCCAATCCTTTTGAGGACTCAATACCACCTGACGACATCCGACCGAGGCATTGTGCACATACTGACACATCAATCAAGGACCATAGTCTGAAAATTGTTCATGATCAAGCAGTCACAATGACTTTCTGACACCAGACGGGTGTAAAAGCAGTCTGGCTGCTTTAACACCAATCAAGTACAGTAAAACTGGTGTTTAAAAACAAAACTCCATGTCAATAAGATACTTATTTGAAACATCAATAACCATGGGTTCTGAGGGAAAAGTTTCACAAACCACCATCTGGCATGTCCTGCCGGATGCTCGGCAATAAGAGCCTGAAGTTTCAGCGCAGTCCTCTCAACCGACTCAAGCAAGACGCCCCTGGTCTACCGCACATCATATCACCTAGCATGGTGTTGGGTCTGTTTACCCAGGATAGACCACACACAAAGGGGGCTGGCATGGGGGTAACTGATGACAATCATACAAAGCACTGGCATGGAGCTTAATGATGACAATCCTACAAGACTATCCCCAACCGCACTTCGTCACACCTGAAACAAATGCTACTCAACCATTTAATACATTTCGGCACACAGACACATGCGGTGCATTGCACGTGTGAAGTTCCATGATGATGGGGTTGAACTTGTCTCTTCCCTCCTCCCACCGAAAAAGAAGACGCTTACAGCATTTTGCACCGGGCCTGCCCTGAATGCAAGCCCGCTCTGCAGGACACCAAGCCCTCACTCTCAGTGGTGCACCCCCACACTACGATCCACCTCACCTGCCACCCCTCCCCCCCCCCCCCCCCCCCGAGTCGGCGCGCCCTCTGCCGGCTGACCTGACAACCTGCTGGTGGATGCGGCGCAGCTGCGGCAGGCTGAAGGCCAGGCGGACGCGGCGCTCGTCCGCCGCCTGGCTCAGCGGGTGGTCCGGGTCGCACAGGCGCAGCAGGCTGAGCGAGCGGCCGCACTGGTACAGGCTGCCCGACAGATCCTGTGGGTACAGCCCGGGGTCACCACACACTCCACCGCCAGCTGTCGCACGGCGAGACGTGCTCAATACGGGGCTGAGGATTCTGAGGGATCATCCCCCCCCCCCCCCCAAAGTTCAGTCATACGACATCACGCCTACCGGCATATTCATAATATTTTTTAATACAAAAATGATCTGAACCCCACTCTCTCTGGGAAAAGGACATTCCCCGCGGTGGGTCCACAGACACCCACCAGCACGACCGAGAAACACCTCGCCTCGCAACCGGCGTCACGTCATACCTCGGGTCCCCACCGTCGTGGGACGGCCGCCCCCCGCGCAGCACGGACCACGCTACAAAAGGGACGCCAGCATGACGCCGACCACAGCCCTAAAGTCGCTCCTGCCAGAGTCACCTTGAGGAACTGAGGATGGTCGTTATCGGTGCCGACCACCACGGGCTGGAAGGCCGACGTCCAGAACGTCTCATCCCGGCTCTGGTGGGCCTCCGGCACCTCCCGCACGGGGAACTCGTCGTAGGGATCACGGCAGATGCCCTCCATCAGCCAGCCCGTCAGAAACCTGTCCCACACACGTGCACAGCCGGTGAGCGGATCACAGCGACGCATGCGGGGCACGCAGCCCACAGCGGCAGGTTTTTTCCGCATGCGACGTCGCGGGGAAGGCTAGAAATGGTAAGAGGATTACAAATACAAAGTGTACTCTTGAATAACTCCCAAACTTTAGGGCAAAGGTAAACATTATTAACCGGTCAAATAAACAGTAGAGCACGTCCATTTACCTTAAATACGGTGAGACGGTGCTCTGGAAGAGATGCGTAAGCATGGCCCACTCAGTCGGCTCCGAGGCGCCGATCAGGCGCTCGTACAGGTCCGACACCAGTGCCATCTTTTGCGGCATCTCGGCATCGCTAGTCCCGACGCAGCACACGTCGGCCAGCAGTGCCATGAGCCGCACGAGCGGTTGCACGCGGCGCCCGAACTCGGCCAGCGAGTCGGCGCGAACCTCCAGCAGGGCGCAGCGGTAGCCGCGCAGACACGGCTCCAGAGCGGCCGTGAACGCACGCTGCGTCAGGCCGCCGCCGCTGGCCGCCGTCAGCGCCGCCACGCGGCGACACCACAGACCGCAGCTTAGCCAAACGCCGCAGCGCGCCGCCAGGGCCTCGGGCGAGCATCGCTCGGTGCAGAGGCCGGCGGCCGGGCGGAAGGTGCCGCGCGCCGCGTCGAACGGGAAGCTGGCTGTGTCGAGTCCCATCAGCAGGAGACGGAGGTGGGCGAGCAGGGTGGCCAGCGGCACCGGCCGCGCCGGCGCGGGGTGATCCTGGTGCCAGGAGAGCAGCAGCGCACGCAGCGGCGCTACCACCGCCGGCCCGGCCTCGGTCAGATGCGGCGGACGGACGCTCCATCTGACGGCGGCCACGCCGCTCCCAGCAGAGGCGACCGGCGCTGGGCAGGCGCGCCGCCTCCTCCCAGCCGTCGTCGCTGGCCGCGGCCGGCGACTGCGGCCGGACCGGGTCGGGCTCCTGAGGCAAACAACAGACCGTCACAGAATGGGCAGGGGCTGCCGTCAGTACCGACAGGAATAATGGATTACAGTGATCTATTGGTGTTTACAGTGATCTCAGTTATCATGATTTTTACAAGTGATTGTGGCGATCACGATTTTTACACAGCTATTACCAATAATGTGACTTTCATACAATATGCATCCCCAAACACCAGTAATGTGGCTTCTATACAACATACGTCCCCAAATACCCAATAATGTGGTTTTCGACACAACATGCGCCCCCAAAATTAACAGGTTCCTTACAGGCACAACAGTCCTAATGCGCCAAACGTCTGCTAATAGACATGCGTCTGGCATGGCGCCATGGTGCAACACTGCCGCGCACCACCGACGGCAGCTGCCGCGGCTGACCTGGACGGCGCGCGGGTGACGTGTGCGGCTCCGGGCCGGCCAGCGCCGCGGGACGCAGCGTTTCCGGCGCGAACGGCACCCGGCTGGGGTCGGAGGGCAGCGGCGGCAGGCGCAGCCGCTCCCCGGCGGCCGCCGTGCTGCGGCTCTGCACCAGCGCCCCCAGCGGACTACCGACCAGAGTGGGATCAGCCGAGGACTGCATGGGAAACGCGACTGGTGATGGGTATCATGTGGGAACCTTCTGATGTGAGAAACGACCTTCACGCACTCACGAAGGGGTAAATGCCAGGGCAACACACATTCGTCCAAATATCTTGTAGCGAAATATCTTTAAATCCAATCAGTTATTAATTATTGTTACTGTGAAAGGACCGAATACCGACAAGCTCAACATACACACGTGCGCATCGGTAACGAAACGCCAATAGAACACAATGCCCGAGATATTATTCTAACGCAAGCACCGGAGACCCACAGATATACGTGAGGTGAGAAGCAAAAAAATAAAGAAGACCAAACTACTCCTATCCTGCAGCACCACTCCAACGCATGACGATGACATCCTGCTAACAGGCCTGCACACTACACACAGGCTTCCAACCAGACAAACGGTCCGTGCCCAGACAGCGTCAACCCCCACTGACCCGCCAGGCTGGGACTGTGTCGGCGCGCCCAGCAGGCCGAGCCCCTCGCCGGGCGGCCGGTCGAACAGGCCCGGCGGCGGCGCGTCGCCGGCCGGCAGCCGCGGGTCGGCGCAGAACACTCCGGCCGGGAACTGCATGTAGAGCCGCGACTCCTCCGGCACCATGTACTCGGTGCTGTACTCGGGCGGCTCGCCGCTGGCCCACAGCGTCTGGGGACAGCGAGGCCGTCAGAGACGAGGCATGCGCCGGTGCACTGACCCGGACACCAGACGGCGGGGACCGGTACACAAGACCACCGTGTGGCGGGCGACATATCGATGCCGTGACACTCAGCGCACGTTGCCTGCGTGCAGCACCACAGTGAGAATGCATTGCGGTCGGCATGCATCCTGCGCAAATAGCTGCTTTCCGACGATGATCTCAAAGTCGACTGTCCCACCAGAAATCAAGTCCTTAACGATATAAAATGTTAATGCATTCATCCTCAATCGAATAAAAGGGGCGTTTTACCTACGCTGATGTGTTATCTTCATTTCACCAGCCAAACGAATAGGGAAAGCATAGTATTACCGTGAAAGTGAGTACAGCACATCGCCTCGCTGCATGTGCGAGGCTGGACAGCCTCTGTCGACGGGGGGCGGAGCTCCTCACCCTGGGGCACAGCCGGGAGCCGAAGTGTCCGACGGCCGGCGGCGGCGGCGGCCGGCCCAGCCGCCGGTCCGCCAGCGCCAAGAGCAGGCGCAGCGCGGCGCGCACCTCGGCCGGAGGGTCCGGCCCCAGCGCCTGCAGCAGGGCGCGCAGCCGGCCTGCTGGCTCCAGCCGCCCGGCGCCGGCCAGCACGAACCAAGCGGCGTGCAGCCGCGACAGCTCCGATATCTCACCCGACCGGTCTGGGGACGGGTCACAGGTCAGGAGACTAGACAGCAGCGACAGCTCCGATATCTCACCCGACCGGTCTGGGGACGGGTCACAGGTCAGGAGACTAGACAACTGTGACAGCTGTGATATGTCACCCAACTGGTCTGGGGATGGGTCACAGGTCAGGAGACTAGACAACTGTGACAGCTGCGATATCTCACCAGACCAGTCTGGGGATGGGTCACAGGTCAGGAGACTAGACAACTGTGACAGCTCTGATATCTCACTCAACCAGTCTGGACACAACCATTATTGTTGCACACTTGACACATCAGACATTCAATCCTGGGATGACATACTAGTACACAATGACAACTGCCTGGGCCAGATATGACATCGCCAGTACCATGCCTATGTGAATTACAAACACCTTTATTACCTTTGATAAAAATAAGATCAGCAGCAACTGTGCAGAAGCACTTCTTAGAAAGATTCGTGTGAGAGTATCACAAAAAGAGACACCAATACAAACAGCCAGTCTCCCAAAATCAGGTTTGGATCAGACTAGAGCACTAGAGTGCAAGGATAAGGATTGAATAAGATCTATTTAAGATCACCTCCTTGCCTCAGTCCAATGAAGTGGGGCCACCAAACAAATAAAACAAGCATCAAACACAAATCCAGCACCCTGTGAGTGAGTCCCTGGTGTACAGGAGCATCTATTTAAGATCTATTTAACCTATTTAAGCATCTATTTAAGATCTATTTAAGATCACCTCCTTGCCTCAGTCCATGAAGTGGGGCCACCAAACAATAAAACAAGCATCAAACACAAATCCAGCACCCTGTGAGTGAGTCCCTGGTGTACAGGAGCATGTAAAATGTTTTTTTGGAGTTAGCATAAAACATTTAGAAAATTTGATGGACTCCAAGAAAACATCCAACACGTTTAAGTATCTGGCTTGTGAGGATGCAAAATGCAGACCATCTCAGACGTGCAGCTCACCACATGAACAAGCTGCAGCATCTCACCATGATCAGTGTATGCAGGAAACAGTATGTATTTTCAGAGCATTTGCTCTGATCCTCTTCAGCTGGTTGTTGGTAATGGCAGTTGGGCTTCCCAGGCTGACGGTTGATGTCAGTCGGCAGCACAGCCATGTGATCTGACCCAGGAAATCGTGTTCCTGGTCCATATACATGTTCTGGATGTCAAAAACAGACCATTAACAAGCAGGATTTACATCAATAATTTTTGACACTGTGTAAACAAAGATGTCCCACACTTATAGGGTCAGTTATGCAAGGCAAAAACAAACCAAACATGCACACTTGCATGGGCATCAATGAACAGCATGGTAGCCATATAGGTAGCATGGTAGAACAGTGGCTGATGGTACCATACTACCCAAATACCCAAGAACAGTACTCAAGTTCGGTACCCCCAAATACCAAGTACAGGTATCCAGGTTTTCCCCACCTCATTCAGCTGCAGCAGAATACACAGACCTGGACAGAATGACAGAACTGCAATCAAAACTAGATTGCATGTGTACACAGTATGCGCCCTGCCTTAAACAACATGTCCATTAGTGCATGTTGAATGGTGAAAAGATCAGTCTAAATGCCTTCAAGTGAAAAAGGCTGGTAATAAAGCTGTGTTGAAATGCAGCAGAATGCTGAAAAGTCATCAGCAAAGGATCATGTGATACTGCCAGCTGATGCAGATCACAGAGTTGTAACTGAGCATCAGACACAGTAGCAAATAGCCACAGCAGGGACATAAGCAAATAGCCATAGCAGGGACATAAGCAAATAGCCACAGCAGGGACATAAGCAAATAGCCAAAGCAGGGACATAAGCAAGTAGCCACAGCAGGGACATAAGCAAACAGCCACAGCAGGGACATAAGCAAAAGCCACAGCAGGGACATAAGCAAATAGCCACAGCAGGGACATAAGCAAATGACGCAGACACACTTAAACACCCACTGCAAAAAAGGAAAGCCCCTCACTGTGCTTTGAACAGTCCAAGAACATCCCTGAAATTTCACTCCGCTAGCATAGGTCTACATATGCAAGGGCCCTTGCATCAGGAATGATCCAACTTATTTTAGTCTAAGGGTAGGATGCTGCAGCCCTGTCAGTCTGTGGTCATTAGTGGTTGGATATTGGTACTGTGTGATATAAGCTAATAGTATTGTATCAGCAGTCTCATTGTAGCTGTTTTCAGCAACTCCCACTACCACTGGAAGACAAGTGATGAAGCAGGTGCAAGAGAGCCATAACATGTAGAGATGGGAACATCAGGAACTAGAGTAGGACTAGTCTGCTAAAAATACATGTTAGGCTAAAAATATCAGGCAGAGCATTGAACACTGACATCTCTGCAACAATTTTGGTGCATGTACATCATAAATTTGGGCTCTCAGGGTTTGGCACATAGTCACCATCAATGTTTGTGCATAGAGTGCCATATCTTAAAGTTGTTCAAAAGACTGCACATGTAACTTCACACAAAGATACCCTGATTTCAAGCAAAAATCTTTTGAAAACTCAGCACATTTAGAGAAAGTCTGAGGTTGATGCAGCAAAACAGGGTGTCCAGAGCAGTCATATGGATATCCTGCTGTTGGATACATTTCCTACAAACTGAATACGGGGTCCAGAGGCCAGACTGCAGAAATACATCTAAGGCTTACCATACTACAGATGAGGAATGCAGCAGCACCACAGCAACAATTTAGCACACCTATATATCACAAACTTAAGTGCTTAGGAGGTCAGAACCAATTTAATGTAATTTTTCAACACCAATTGCAAAGGTTAGAGG